TAATTTTAACAGCTGTCGGAGGAGTGGTTTAGAATAAACAGCAGTTTGAAGTTGGTTGCAGTTTTTTCATCTCACCCTGTATTTTAGTACATTTCGTACACTTATAGTGCGTATTTCCAAAAACCTTTATTACACCTTACTTGTTCGTCAAATACAAATTTAGTACATTTAACTACTTTTCATACAATTCTGTTATGAATTTTCAAAACACCAGCCTTATCTCACACCTTCGGACTAGAAGTGACCTTCACCAAAAATTTCAAGATTATAGCATCAGCCGTTTCGGGCTTGGATCACCCCTTATTTCAGTCAGTCAATCACATTTCTTGCTATAATCGCGTCTAAAGGGCATTTTTCATCATTTCTTTTGACTCGATAGATGGTTAATATTTTCGACCAAAATAATTCTAGTATTGTTAGAGCATTATTGTCAAAGACATAATATATGTTAGGATTTCAAGTAAATTAAAAAAAAAGCAGTAAAGAAAGTCTTAAGGTCGGGCGGGGTCGACTTTTTGATACCCTACACCACTTTGCTAATTTAAAAGTTTTTACCAAAGGCTACATATGCCGAAGCATTTGTACCTTCTAAATTCGGACTTGTATAGCCCATTTAATATGAAATCGGATAAAAATATATATGGGAGCTACATCCAACCCGGAACCGATCTCGATAAAACTTTGCAAATATATTTCTGAGCTGTATTTGATCGATTTCCGTGAATATCGTTGTTACGGAATGCTTATTACGGCTGTGGGTAACAAATATAACAAATCGGATGAACAATTTTTTGGGAGCTATAGCTATATCTGAACAGATCTTCACCAAATTTGATATATTAGACTCAATTCGGTCATAAGTGCCAAATTCCATTCCATTTGGACAATTATTAGATGTTTGGTGCACAAGAAATATTAAATCCGACGAAGTTATATATGGGAGCTATATCGAAATCTGAACCGATCTGGATAAAATTTAGCAAAGGTATTTCTGAGCTGCATTTGATATATTTCCCCAAATATAGTTGTTACAGAGTGCATATTACGGCTGCGGAGGACAAAAATAACAAATCGGATGACCAATATTAATGGGAGCTATAGCTATATCTGAACCGATTTCGATCAAATTTGACATACTAGCTTCTAGACTCAATTCGGTCATAAGTGCCAAATTTCATCCAATTTGGGCAAATATTAGACGTTTGGTGCACAATCAAAAGTAAATCGGACGAAGTTATATATGGGAGCTATATCCAAATCTGAACCGACCTCGATCAAATATAGCAAATGTATTTCAGGGCTGTATTTGATATATTTCCCCAAATATTGTTGTTACAGAGTGCATATTACGGCTGCGGAGGACAAAAATAACAAATCGAATGACCAATATGAATGGAAGCTTTAGCTATATCTGAACCGATTTCTATCAAATTTGACATACTTATTTTCAGGCCTAATTTGGTTGTATGTGCAAAATTCCATACTATTCGGGCTGACATTTCACGTTTGGTGCACAATAAAAGGCAAATCGGACGAAGATATATATGGGAGCAATATCTAAATTTTGACCGATTATCTCCAATTTCAGTAGGGTTCGTCATTGGGCCAAACAAATGATTTGTGCAAAATTTCATCTGGATAGGGCAATAAATGCGAACTGTACTTTGGTTACAAAACTACATGGACGGACAGACAGACGGACGGACATGCATAAATCGACTCAGAATGTGATTCTATGCGGATCATCAAAAGGAACTATGGGTCTATCTCGTTTCCTTTTACCTGTTACCAACAAATGCACAAAGACCCTGACCACTTTGTGGTGTAGATAATAAAAACAAGTTAAATGGCAGTATGTTCGGCCGGAAAAGAAAAAACAAATTAAGAAAGCTGAAAGTTCGGTCGGTCCGAACTTTGAATATCCTCCACCATTTGGAATGAATTTAGAAATGTTCAAAAAATAAAATCTTTAAAAAATTCTGTTTAAATTTTAAAAATACCAAATATAGCCGTTTTTTAGGGGTCTATACGACGTGGACCTACATAGGCATTGTTTGTCGTAAGCCATTACCATATTCAAATTCGAAAACTTGAAATAAACGGTGAATAATGTAGCTAAAATCATCGAAATATCGTATACAGGGAGGTATAGTTATGCGAAGACCTGGACCTGCGTAGACAATTTTCTGTCACAGGCTGTAGCATCCATTACGAAGTTCAAATACGACATCTCAAACAATTTCGGTGGGTATTGTACCTAACCTCGTCAAAATACCGAATATAGGGAGTTACTGATATATGGGTCTTATACGAAGACCTGGGCCTGCATAGACAATTTTCTGTCACAGACTGTAGATCACATTACGAATTCTAAATACGTAATTTGAAACAATTCCGGTGAGCAATGACGATAAAATCATTAAAATACCGAATATAGGGAGGTACCGTTATATGGGTCTTATACGAAGACCTGGACCTGCATAGACAATTTTCTGTCTTAGGCTGTAGTATCTCTTTCGAACTTCAAATACCAAATTTGAAACAATTCCGGTGAATAATGTCGGTAAAATCATATACCGAATATCAGGAGGCTATACGAAGACGTGGACCTACACGGCCCGTTTTCGAACTTAACCTGCCTACTGGAAAAATAAACATGTGTGCAAAATTTTAGCCTTCTATCTCAATTCGTTCGAAAGATAGCGTGATTACAACAGACAGACAGACGGACATCGCTAATTCGACTTAGAATTTTACGCTGATGAAGAATATATATATACTGGGGTCTGACATGAGTATTTCGAGGAGTTACAAACGGAATGACAAAGTTAATATACCCCCCATTGCATGGAGGAGGATATAAAAATTGGAGAGGTATTTTTCCTGATTCAGGTTACTTTGCCATAATTTTTCTATTTTTAGCTCCACTTCCAACATCTTTTTGGTTTTTCAAGTTTAAATTGTAATTGGAAGACTTGGTAATAATGTCTCCTTATGCTCTGGATGCTTCAACTCGATTTCCTCTCCTAACCACTGTCCATTGTTTGTGTATCTCAAGAGATATGGACATTTGTAATTCAAACACATAATAAAGCAATCTTGTTATACCCTACAACACTATGTGTTGGGGGTATTATAAGTTTGATTGGGCCAGAATTTATGTAACACCTCGAAATATTGATTTCCCACATAGGAAAGTATATATGGATCTTCCTATCTCGCCGAGTTGAGTCGATCTAGCTATGTATGTCCGTCCGTCCATCTGTCCATCTGTCCGTCTGTCCATGTTAATTTGTAATCACTCTACAGGTCGCAATTATGGCCCGATCTTCACGAAATTTAGAATGGAAGTGGGGCTAGGGTCAGAATAGAACCCTATTTCTTTTGGAGATGATCGCATAATATTTAGGGGTCGAAATGGACCAAAAACTGAAAAAATGTCGGATTTTGCAGTAGCTGTACAGGTCGCAATTATAGACCAATAGACGCGGAAATTCGCATGTAGCTAGAGTTTAGGGTGGGGAAGAAGCCTACCAATTTGGGTGGTCATCGGAAAATATTTAGCGGGTAAAATAGACCATATCTTTTGTGTTGAAAAAATTCAAAATTTTTCATTAAACCGCGAATATTTTAAATCCCGGCGAAATCACAAAGCCATGACAAGGTTACTCCTGTTCTTTACATTGATGTTAACATCCAACAAAATGGATATATAGCAAAATATGTGCGATATATATGTCTATCAAAGAAGATATGCTTGAAAAATCTCTTATATGTCGAGAACGGCTGAACTGATTTCGACAGAAGAAAGAAACAATGTCTAAAAAATCGCGTAAAAATATCCTTCTAAAGATGAAAATATTGATTTTGTAACATTTTCTCATATTTTTTTTTTTCAATTTTGTCACATTTTTGGCATATTTTCATTTTGAATTAAACATTTGGTAATATTTCTACAGCTAACAAAACTAAGTAGTTAGGATATCAGGATATCATATACAGATCGCATTTATGGTCCGATCCTAACGAAATTTTGCATGGGGATTAGATGAGGGTCAGAATAGAAGCCTACTCTTTTTGAAGATGATCGTCCTATATTTAGGGGTTGAAATGGACAAAAAAACTGAAAAATTGTCAGCAGGTCGTAATAAGCGCCCGATCCTCACGCACATTTGAATGGGGGTTACCGGACATTGCAAAAGCCAAGCAGTTTTGGATGGCAATCCAAAAATATTCAATTTGTGAAGGAGTTTGCCAACTTTTGAAGACAAAATACGAAAATGTCCATTCCAGTGACTTTTTGGAGAATTCACAAACACAGGAAAGACGCACTTCTGACTATTTCGTTAACGCTGATTTCGTTGAAGAATATAGTCAAATGTCTGTAGCTCATATAGATGCGTTTCAGTCAAAAACCAATAATAAATGTTAATCTTTTGTCACTTCTGAGAGATTATAGGTCTTTGGGAAATATTGGTTCCAGATCTAGGAAGACCATTTACGTGCAACATCTACCAATAAATTGGAAATGAGCAAATTAGTTCAAGTTTCTATTATTCGAAAATTAGAGAACGAAACCTGATGGTTTGCTTTTATTATTTGTCACAATATCTTGTGGAATTCTTTCGAGTATCTGGCCTATATAAACTGTATCGTTTATTATAGTGTTGTAGGGTATTCAACGGTCGGCCCCGCTCGACTGTAGCCTTTGCTTACTTGTTTTTCTATGTTTAGGTGCACTTCCATAATCTGTTTGTTTTTTCGTGTATTTGTAAAAAATTGAATTTTTGTCGTCCAGTGTAATCAGGTTTAAATTGTAATTAGAAGACTTGGTAATAATGTCTCCTTATGCTCTGGATGATGCTACAACTCGTTTTCCTCTCCTAACCACTGTCCATTGTTTGAGTATCTCAAGAGATATGGACATTTGTAATTCAAACACATAATAAAGCAATCATGTTTTATGACATAAACACCAAAAAAAAAAAAAAATAAATAAATAAAATGTAATAAAAAATAAAGACATTTGCTTTGCTTGTCTTCACATCATTCATTTATTTGTTTGACCTTCCATTCATGCTGTCTGTCTGTCATACATTCATTCATCTATCAAACCATACATCCATCCATCCATCGAACCATTCAGCCATCGAAAGCGTCACAATTGTCACATAATTCCAAAATCGCAAATCAAAGAGAGTCCGAAAGAAAACACCATTGCCGTTATTGTTGTGCAGCAGTGTCATCGGGACACAAATGTGCTGTTTGGCCGGGTGGTTGACTGGCTGACTGGTTCGTTGGTTGGTTGGTTATTGTGAAATGAGAGTAGTGGGTGTGGTGTGGGTGTGGGAGAGAGCAAACATGTTTACCAGATGATGCGAGAAATGTTGTGTCATCTATCAACAGCTGTAGTTTTGGCAAAAGAAAACTTTGCAGTTTTCCCAAGCAAAACACTCATATGTCGATAGAGAGACACACACACACACACACACATCTACTCGCCAAGTCTCTCCACGTAAACATATCACAAGCAGGTTGAGGGGTGGGTGGTTGATGGAAGGATAAACAACATTCGCTAATGCACATTTGCTGCCAATTTTGCGTAACGATTGTTTTGATTACGTTGGCCAATGCTGCTGCCCGTGGCAGCATTGCCCACCATGGCTGGCAGACCATGGACATGGAACACATTCTCCTTGCCGTTTGCATTAAAACTTCTCGCATTGGCATTGTTGCGGCTCCATAACTCGGGAATTTGTGGTCTTTGCAACTCGGACAGAGGCTTACATTTCACATAGACTTGCCGTTGATTTGGTGAAATGCTATTCGTTCGAACTGTTTCCCGTTTAATTACCACGGGATTTGTGTAACGTTGCCTTTTGAGGGATTCCCGGCAGGGGAGTTGGCAGGGCAGGGGTGGGGTGTGCTCTGGCTGTTCATTTGAGGATAGTTTCTCCTGCAATGCCTGCTGAAGCTGTTTAAATTGTTGTTGCAAAACTCGATTGGCAAAATTTTGTTCATTACGACAATGCGAGAGCTGGGGAGTTGGCGGATAATCCCATACCATGGAAGGTTTTAGGGGTTTGCCAATGGGATTTTTCTTCGAGGGATTCATGCGTTTGCCGAGAATTTCCTCAATTGCCATTAAATTGTTTTCAACATTCGATTCCATTTGCAGAGGTTTTGTTCTGGTGGATAAACCCTTAAACATGTGGCATGACTTCTTTTTACTGGGTTGGACCAGGGAGGCGAAAACCTTGGGATTTATGGTGGTATTGGATTTTTTAGCTGCTACGCCACCTCCTCCATGGATCATGGTAAAAGATTTCTTCAATTGCCTCAAGGCATGTGAAGAAAGTCCAGATTTATTATGTCCCACCGGGGTAGCAGGCTCCTGCCTTCGAAAGACACTACGGCTACTGGAACTGCTGGCACTCGAACCAAAACGTCGCTGTTGGTATATCTTATAGGTGGGGGGTTTAAGCAGCTTTTTACTACCCTCTGGCGTTTGATTCGTGAGCAAACGTTTTCTGCTAACCTTCATAATGCTATGCAACAAATGCGACTCATCCACATTTGAGGCCATGTATTTCTTCGAACTCGAGCTCAAACGCTTGGCTTTTTGTTGTTGCAATTCCCTCTCGGTTTCCTCCTTGAACATCCTTATGGGAGCTTTATTTTCCATTCGTGCTGAAGCAGCTTTAATTTGTTGCAAGCCATGGCGATATTGCTCTGGGATTTGCTCATATAACTTTTTAATGCAAGTGCTAACAATTTGATTGGTATTTTTGGACAAAAGCTGGGGCTAAAGGGGAAGGAAGATTTTTAATGGAGATCTTTGTTTTCGAATTTTAACTCACATCAATGTTAATTTTTCTCTTCACAAATTGATTTAAATTCGATGTGGTCATTTCTCTGCGATCTGTTATATCACCATTCAATTTATGTAGGATGGGCTTGCTTTTAAAATTTGGATTCATAAAACAATTTTAATTTTTACAAAATATTCTGATATTTTGACAACAAGTTTGAAATATCTTTTCAACCAACGAAGTTCTAAGTAGGTGGGTGTAATAATTTTGGGAAATTATTTGTAGCAATTTTTATACTCTCCATTCCGTTTGAGAAAATCTCAAATTATTTACATACCAAGGTGAGGGAACATAAGCAGCTTGAAGTCTTCGTACGGCATATTTTGTGACATATCATAAATGGATTATAGAGCCGCATTGGAATCGAGCCGTCGTTTCCTCTAATAAATTTATATTAATAAGCCTAGCCATGATGCCAAGCTGTGTTGTACCCTCACCATCAGTCTGCGACAAAACTCCTTTTAGGGACATACGTAAGGATTCATTAACAACTAGACGAAATGGCTGAAACCAGAATCTTGAAATTTTGGGTGAGGTTTATTCTTGGTCCGAAGATATCAGATCAAGCTGGGTTTGAGCAACTAGTAGAGCTAGAACTTGTAAATTTGGAGTGCATGATGGATGTATCAAAGGGTTTTTGGAGATTCGCATTATAAGTGTACGAAAAGTACTAACATGTACTATATTTGGTACTATTTCGTATCATGTGAACAGAATCAAAGTTCAGGTGTAGGGTCGATGTAAGGAGTAGGTTTTGGAAGAGTGTACTCATATATACTATAGTACTATATCGTACCAAATTTAGTACAATTCGAGTTTGAAGGAACGGTTGGAACTGGAATCCTGAAATTTAAAATTAACATTGCTGCTGGAGAATAGGATGGGTGTACCAAAAGATTTTTAAACAATTAAAAAAGTATCGGTCGGTTTTGCCGACAGATATATACCCTCAGCCAATGTTCGATTATTTAAAAATATTTTGACTTCTGTTATGATTATTCAAATGTTTAACCCCTTATGCAGAAGGTTCCGAAGGAATGGGTCAATATTGGTCATTTCGTATCGGACTAAAATAAATATGATATTTATATTGCGACGTACTACCAAGTCTTGAATAGAATCGGATGTCAATTTCGCTTTTTATGAGCTTCATGGATATTCAAAATTTTGATCCTTTGTAGGGAAGGTACCAGAAGGAGTGGACCGATATATCCCACCTTCACAACGGACCTTTTGTTAGTGGAAATAATGGGATGTGTTAAATATAAAGATAACCTGACGCTTATTTTGGATTTTATAAAAGTTTTGGTTATTCAAAACTTTGACCTTTTGTGGGGGAGGTACCAGGAGGAATGGTCCGATTTCTACCATTTTTTTTTACAGATCCTGTGTTGATAGAAACAATCAGATGTGTCAAGTCAAAACGGTATCCTATATTAATTTCGAGTTTTATGAGCTTAATGGAAATTCAAAATTTCGACCTTTTGTGGGGGAGGTACCTGAAGGAATGGACTGATATTGTCCATTTTCAAACCTGACCTAGCACTGATGCAAGTATTTGGATTTGCAAATTTGGGGCAAAATCGGATTATCGTTTCGACTGTTTGTGGGGGAGGTACCAGAAGGAGTAGACCGATATATTCCATCTTAACATCAAACTTTGGGTTAATTTAAATATTGGGATGTGTGAAATTTGAAGACAATCGGACTCTTACATCACATTTTATGACGGTTGTAATAATTTAAAGTTTTTGCCCTTTGTGGAGGAGGTACCTAATGTAGTCGACCGATATTGTCCATTTTCCCACCAGATCTAGCACTAATGTAAATATTAGGATTTGCAAAGTTGGAGCAAAATCGGATTATCCTTTCTCTTTCTGTGCATAAAATATATTTTTTGAAAATTTCGACTTTTTGTGGAGGAGGTACCAGAAGGAGTGGGCCGATATTGTCCATCTCCGAACACGATCTAAGTTTGACAAAAATATTACGATGTACCAAGTTTATACAAAACCGAATCGGATACTACCTTCGAGAGTTATCGTGCGCACCAGTCAGACAGCTAGACAGATAGATGGACGGACATCGCTAGATCGACTCCAAATGTTCTGAAACGGATTTGGTCCAAAGAGACCTAGGGTCTAAAACCGTTATTTCGACTAGGCACGATTTGACTGTATTAAATTATGTATGCCCTCGGATCAATTTTTTTGATCAAAGGATTTTTGGAAATTCGCACTATGAGTGTATGAAAAGTACTAAAATTTACTATGGTACCATTTCGTATCATAACAACTGTTAGAGCTAAAAAGTTGAAATTTAGAATTGAAATCAAGGTTGAGGAGTAGAGTCGATGTAAGGAGGTAGTTTTCCAAGTGTGTACTCATTTACAATTCGAATTTGGAAGAACAGGGGGAGCTGACATATAAAATTTCAAATTAACATTGCTGGCGGATAGTTGGATTGGGGTATGCAAATAGTTTTCGAAATTTGTAATTATGTGCAAGAAAAGTACTAAATGGTACTAAATTTTGTACAATTTGAATTTGGAGGAACGGATGGAGCTGGAATCCAGAAATTTCAAATTGACATTACTGACGCATTGTTAGATTGGAATATGGAGGAAGTTTTCAAAATTATGAACTTATTTGCACGAAATGTACTAAATGGTACTACATTTGGTGCAATTACGATTTGGGTAAGCCGATACAGCTTCAATTCTTAAAATTATAAAAGGATTACGATTGCATTTTAGGAATGAGGTGAGTAGGTAGTTTTGGTAATTCGTACTCGTGGGTACTAAATGGTACCAAATTTGGTACAATTCAAATTTTGGGAAAACCAATAGAGTTGGAATGCCGAAATTTTGAAAAAAGGATTTCTATTGGATTGTAGGGCTGAGGAACGCTGGTAGATTTGGAAACCCATGCTTTCGTGTACATAATAGTACTAAATTTGGTACAATTTCAATTTTGGGTGAACCGGTAGAGTTGGAATCCTGAAATTTGAAAATATGATTTCTATTGGACTGTATGATGTAGATAGTTATGAAATTTTGTACTTAAGTGTATTAAATTGTACTAAATTTGGTATAATTCGGGTGAACCAATAGAGCAGGTATACTGAATTACTGTCGGAGTTTAGGATTGGGATATGTAGGTAGTTTTGGAAATTCGTACTTACCTGCACTATATGGTAATGGGACGTTTTGAATTATTGGATTGAGGTTTGTGGGAAGTTTTGGAAATTTGTACTCATGTGTACTAAATTTGGTATAATTGTGTGTGTATTGGGTTTAGGTGGAATCGTCAAATTTGAGGTCACTTTTGCTGTCTGTGGTTGAGATATGGTGGTAGTTTTGGAAATGGTACACATAGTACTAGTTTAGTATTGGATGAAGGGATAGAGCAGAAAACCTGAAATTTTATGTGAATGCCATTGTTGGTATAGAGATGTAGTTTTGAAATTTTATATCGAGGCCACAGTTAGTGCCTAGGGCGGAGAGTGAGAGGGGGTTTTGGACACGTGTAGTGTAGAACAGTTGGGATTGGGTCTTAGAATAGAGCTGGAATTCTGAAATTTGATATGGAAGCCACTTTTGGTGTATAGTTTGAAGAGAAGCAGGTGAATTTGTTTGGCCCAAGGACGAACTCTATTGAAATTAAATTTAGATATAGCTCCCATATACATCTTCAACAGATTTAGGGATAATTGTGCAACAAATAGCCAATATCAGTCCAAATGAACTGAATTTTGGTACATTCCACCGAATTCAATATGGGAGCAAGTACATCAAATTTCAAGAAAATCGGTTAGGATATAGCTTTTGCTCACTGCATATGTTTCATGGGGTTAAATGTCCCTAAAATGCGTAATATGCACTCCACAAGAATGATATTTGGTAGCAGATACCAGATACAGCTCAGAAATACCTCTGTTAAATTTTATCCAGATCGGTTCAGATTTGGATATAGTTCCCATATGTATCTTCAACCGTTAATTGTGTACCAAATGTCCAATATTAGTCCAAATGACCTGAATTTTGGTACATCCCGCCGAATTCAGTCTAGAAGAAGCACATCAAATTTGGTGAAAATCAGTTTAGATATAGATATAGCTCCCATATATAGGTTTCATGCGATTTGGTGTTGAATTCCCTAACATCCGTAATATGCATTCGACAACAATCATATTTGTTATCAGATATCTTATAGAGCTCGGAAATACCTTTGCTAAATTTTATCGAGACCGGCTAATATTTGGATATAGCTCTCATATATATCCTAATTCCGATTTCAACTAAACGTTTGCAAATAATAGCTAATATCCGCCCAAATGGAGTGAATTTCGGGACGTCGGTTTCCATTTTGTGGGACTCGGCTCCGATATATCTATACATATATATTTTTTTAATATAATCCTTCTCGAAGTGCTATCCTACTCTCTATACCAATCTTATTTTGTATAAAAGATTTATTTGTCTCTGTCAAATTTAGTGAAAATCGATTCAGAATTGGATATGCCTCCCATCAATTAGTTTTCTCTAAACCCAAACTATAAAAGCTCTAAAGCCAAATGTTAATAGGTGGTATGATCTACTTCAAATAAATTATATTTTTTTACGGGAGCTCTACTAAATATGCAGTGTAGTGTAGGGTATCATATAGTCGGCCCCGCCCGACTTTTGACTTTTCGTTACTGGTTTTCAATAATTACGGGTAAATCCAGCAGATTATGAAAGTAGAGCTAAAAAGGAAGAATCCAAAAATTTTGAAAAGTCTGGGAGAGAGCAAACTTTCCCCTTATTTAAGGTTCCTTTGAGATGCAACCTTTAAAAACGCCGATACAAGTGGTTTCCCTTTTTCGGTTCTAGTTTAATAATCTGCTGGATTTTTTCCCGTAACTATTGAAAACTAGTGGAAAAGTAGTAAGGTCGGCCGGGCCGAACTTTGAATACCCTCCACCGTTTGGAAAGAATTTGGAAATTTTCAAAAAAAAAAAATTAAATAAATAACGTGTAAAACAGCTGTAAGTTCGGCCGGACTGAACTTTAAACACCCTCCACCATTTGGAACGATTTTGACAATTAAAAAAAAAGTCCGTTAAAAATTCTGTTCAAATCTAAAAAGTATTGAATGTAGCCGTTATATTAGGATCTATAC